CACAGGGCGGGAGGTGAGGGGCACCAGCTCAGAAAGACACACACAGCTGTTCACACTCATGTTCACACTTACGACCAATTTAAAGTCATCACTTAACTCAGCAAGCACGTCTTTGTGGTGTGTTTCTCAACACAGGGGTAACTACAGTAACACTTTCTGGTAAAACACTGCCCCCTCGTGGGGAAAGCTTTGCAGCCTCTAATTACAATGTCCTATATACTTTTCTCCTTTAGAATCTATAACTGTTGTCTTATGTGATGTATTTTTATACACATGACTTTGGTGTATCTGCTATAGCTTATAATTGCTCACAGAGGGGTCGATCAGATGTGTTCTTGACACAGCTAGAAATTTAATGTCAGTGTTTTTCATCCGCATACAGTGGCACTCCAAGTCCTTTCATGTCTGGGTGATTTTGGTCTAGAAAGAGTTGTTTTTTTATGTTTAAAAAACTAAATTCAGCTGAATTTTAAACATGAAAGTCCACTATTAGTCGAACTGTCGGATCAGTTAGTGTTGGTAGGTTGTATTTGCATCCTTTCTGTGGTGTCTGAAGAAATTAGTCCTTCTAACTTGTCGTTTGTCGTCACACAGATGAACAACCGTCCAGTTGTCGGGAACGGAGTTTTCCCCTTCCCTTCCCTGCCCAATGGGAACATGTGCTACTCAGAGAATAAATAGGAATCAGTTGCTGTGACTTCTGGACGGCAGAGGATCTCAACTTGAACTGAAAGGAAAAGACTGAAGAATAAGAAAGTGCCAGAAAATGGACGAGAAGACAATCAAAGACACCCCTCCCTCCCTCCCTCCCTCTTTTTATTTGTTTTCTTTTCTTTCTCTTATGACGAAACAGTGATGAAAGCTGTTAGAGTTCATGTTTGGTTCAGGGTGGCTCAACAGGACGAAAAATCAGGATAAAAGCTTGGATTCCTCTTTCGGATGTGGTTGGATTGTACCAATGCAAAACGACTGCTTGGCGAGAATATTTGGATGTATGGGAACCAAAATGAGTCCAGTCTGACTGAGTTGATCCCTCTGATGGAAACAAGTTAAAGGGCGCTGCTTTTTATCAGAGGTAGGTGAAGCTGACATGACCAACCAATCAAACCTCAGCCACCAAAACCCAGGTAACCAACTCAAATTGTTTTAATATATTTGAAATGAGTTTTTAAACCAAAAAAATGCCCCAAATTTTGAAAACAGGTTTTCCAACAGCTGGCAGAAACTCAGCAAAAAAAGGAAGAAGGCTCCACCTGGTGGTGCTATCCAGCAATTGCACCTTAAAAACCAATTAATTAAGAGGAAGATCACTATATTAGTAAGGTCATGTATATATTCCGCCACAGATGAGGACTGGCTGGTTGGGTTAGCTTCCCCCTGTTGTAATAAAAAGCAGATGATTTCCCTTCTCCTTTATTTTTTATTCTTTTTAAAAATCCCCTTACTGTGTGGATGGGACGTTTCTGGGTGGGACAGATGGACCTGGAAGTTAAAGGAAACATCACTGAGGCAACTGCCTGTCAATCCTCTGCCGTCTGCAATGTACACAATTTCAACACCTTTGCTAATTTGAACGCTCAGAAGGATAGCATATACCAACTTTTTTTTTAAACATTGCTGTTTTATGTCCCTTTGAACAGGCATCCTGATTCAGTTCATTTCAAGTCTTTACTGTCCCAGTGAGGGAGATTTGCTTTGCAGATAGGGTAGAAAATTATTGTAGTTTAAAACGAAAAGAAATGCACAACCAGACATCGGCATCATCCTACTAACAGACCATACGTAAGATTTAATTCAGTGAAAACAGCTGCTTGTTGATATATTTTAAGAGCTTTGTCACTGAGCCAGTTTTCTTTCCTTCCTTTTCCTTTTGTGTTGTTGCTTTATTTTTATTGTACCAGGAAAAAAATTGCAGATCGTGCCTTAAACTGACAGGAACTTTAAAGGGACAGTCAGTAGAGATTAATTAGAAGACCAAAGTTGCCCTTGCCTTAACTAAGTCACGCAGGCCCAAATAACCTCCAGCCACTAGGGAGAAGCATGCATTCTCCAAACAAGCGGTGCTCGAGGTTGCAATCAATCACAAAAAACTTCTTTGTGGTTGTTTAGATCGTTACCAGATTGCTGCAGTCACCTATTGTTTCCATGAATGACAACTTTTTTTTACAGTTTCACTACCACTAAAATACTTTGCAGACAAGTGAGCATCAAATGCTTCAATCTGCTAGCAACCAACGCACTTGCAAGGAGATTTTCGGCACAAATGATTCACCCAGCAACTGCAAGCAACCATTGTTTGCCTGTGTGACTGAAGCTTTAGCCATTATTTGAGATTTTTTTTTTTGCACTACTCCTTTAAATTGTTTGACTTGCCAAAGCACAGTGAGAAGTCCGAGACTTACTATTGCTAGACAAAAAACTGAGAACAATTTAGACAACTTTAGTACTTAGTTGTTGTTTTTTAATTATGTCATTTAAAGGTTATATCGAAATGTTTTAATGATAAAATCAAACAAATTAAAATAAAACTTAAACTGAGTCAAAGTTCAGATTTTTTAAAAAACTTTTATTGTTATCTTTTTGTAAATCCAAACAACTAAATCTTAAAAAAAAAACTGAAGCTGAGGATTTTTTACAAAACCAGATTTCTTGTTACCCACAACAAACCTCCATCCTTTGTGTCTTTTCTTCTTCTTTTACTCATTTCTTGCTATCGGAGTAACATTGAAACACAGAAGTAAAACACTCAGAGGCAGCTATTGTATATTTTAAATGAGAGAAAAATGGAAAAAAAAAAAGAATTCACACTTTATAGTGTCTTTTAAATTGACCTCTTTTTGACTGTCTGTTTAAAACAGTTTAGGAAACAAAGCAACCTGTTCTAAGCTGTGAATTTTTGTTCACATGACTAAATCAGTGGCATCAAGGTTAGAAACTAGTGCTGTCAGGGTTAATCTCATTAAAATGGCGTTAACACCATAACCGCATTATCGCGGCAAATCTCCGTTAGCGAGTTAACGCGGATCGCCCCGCATTAGAGCGTTAACACATTAGCGCCGTCCAGCCCCACGCACTACAATACATGTGTGGAACCCCACAAAACAACAGTTGGTCAGAGAATAAGTGAATAACTACACATAATAATGTTAGGAAAATCTCTTGACGATTCATGTGTCTGAAAGAAAAAAATCTGCCAGTATATCACAATATTGGATTTTTAGATTACCAATATCGGTATTGGTATCGTTCTTCAAAACCCTATATCGCTCAGGCGCTAGTTATCTGAAAGTGTTTTTTAGTTTTTTACAGCTTGCTCTAAAGCACCAGAATTTGACCTCATGCAGCTCCAAGTTTATGCCTGTGTAAACGTCGTTGTGAACTTTTGCAGCAGTTTCACCAAAAGCCATGAAAGCAAAACTAAATATCAGCACTCACGGGTGGAGATGGAGATTCAGTACAGAAATAGTTCTTCACAGCACTTCTGCTTCTCCTCCTCTTCTTTTAATCAGAGCTTTTCTTCATAAAGTATTCTCTAAGTGGAAATATAAATATCTCCTGTTGCTTTATCTACATTATACTGACTTTGTACTTTTATTCTACTTTCATTTTCAATCCGTCGGAGGCCAAGACTCCAAATGCAGTATCTTTGTGTAACTGTATATAAATATATATATTTGTCCTTTTATGCTTTTTTTTCTCCAAAGTATGTATTGTCATATATTGTGTATTTTAATATTGTATTGCCTTAACATGACCCACACTTATCATTTTTTTGTACATTTTCTGCACATTGCATATGTATGTAACCTCCTGTTATGATGTTTTTTTATTATATCTTGTGGCTTTGCCGTCAATATTTGGCTTTAATTGTGTATGAGTGTTTGACTCTTTACATGCTCACCATATAAATTAAATGTGATCTGATCACACAATTGCTATATTTTATTTTATTTTTTTGTGAAAACAAAGTTTTTCTAAACCTCCTTTAGGAAAATTTGGGATTAAAAATAAAACAGTGGATTGAAATTCATAAATACATATTAACTAATAATTAATAACGAATAAAGTGATTAATAATACAATATAATATAATATTACTGGTTTGGATTGTTGTGATGGTTTCCACAGTGGCCACTAGATGACAGTGTAACTATTTTGGTAAGTTTGACTTTTTCCTTGAAGTTAAACTTTAAGTTGATGATTTCTGCAAATAGGGCTAGAAAATATATTTATAAAAAAAATAAATACATACGTAGTTGTATGCTTCATGGACAGATAGATGTTTTGACTGTGATATAAAATTAAAATTGTGACAACAAATGTATTTAAAATTGCTCAAAAAGCTAAAGCTTTTCCAGTATATATGCTAACATGAGGCAATCGACCTTTAATGCAGCAATAGCACAAAATAAGTTGCTGGTAAATACATTTTTTTTAAACTTGACATCTTAGAAGCCTAATTTAAGAGTGAATCCTTCTAAAATTGAAGACATTTTTCTGATTTTGAAACATTTAAGATTGCCCTTGAAACACAATTAAAGAACTCATATAGAGTTCGCTGTACAAATCCTTAAGCAAAATAAATTGCAGCTTGCAAGCTTTAAAAAAGTGCTGGTTGGAATTCCGATTAAAACACTGCTATTTTAAATTCAACTGATCGTTATTGTTTTTCTTACAAACAAACAAAACCTTTACTGCAATTTTTAAACATACAAAAAATGTATAAAAATGTATTTAAACAATGTATAATAATAATAATAATAATAATAATAATAATAATAATAATAATAATCCAGAAAAACTTTGTGGTTCATACTTTGTTATATTTTGTAAAACAAAAAAACATAAACAAGGAAATGAATTTTAACATCAGAAAACAACAACATGTACATTTATGATGTTGAAAAACGTTGTTTTTTACATTTTAAATGAAAACTCGGCGACGTTTTTTTTTTCTTCTCTTACGTCACCTCTGACCCGAAGCGCGCTCTCGGCTTCAAATCAGTGCCCAGAAAGGTGCCCGGGAAGCGCGCGCCGGTCAGAGAGCAGAGTAGAGAGAGACAGCAAACAGGGAGGAGCGCTTTGAGTACGACAACTGAAATTTATCGACGATTCTTACAGTTTTTTGATGTGTCAGGATGTGAAGCTCAAACTGTTTGTTTTTAATGCTGGATTTGAGCCGCCGGCGGGGCGCCATGGACGGGATAAACCGGTGACGGTACCGTTACTACTTTGACATTCCTCACCGGGAGCCTCGGTGCCTCAGCTTCACTGTGAGTTTATCTATGGCGTCTGTTTCAGCCCTTTGAATTAGCGCTGTAGTTGTCGTTATCACGGCTCTGGCTAACGGTGACGGCCCGGGATGTTGCACATTAGTCGGTGAGAACAGGTGTTGGTGATCCGCGGTTTCTGGACCAGTTTGATGGATTTCCTCCAGCTTCACTGTGAATAAATCAGCGAGATGTATGCCGCGCGGAAAAGAAGAAAACCGGCCCAGAAAGGGTACGTTATATTTGTTATCGTGAACGCCATGTAAGTAGTAATGAAATGGGTCTGTTGTAAGCTTTATTTTTATACACAAATATTATATCATTATTTAAATATGAAATATATATTATATTGGTCGTATTTATTGTAATGTTATGAAGACAGGCACAAAAAAAATCTTTTTTAAATGTTTATTTAAAACACTACAAATTTATAGTGTCACTGGCATGTTACAGATCGATGGATACAAATAAAAAGGCAACAATTGTTTAGTAGTAACCAATATTAGCTTTTGATACTGACAGCAATGTTCCATGTTATTTTTGTTATCATTATTATTATTATTATTATTATTGTTATTATTTGTAGTAGTAGTAGTAAAAGTGCACTTTTACTAGTGGTGGTCTGTTAATTGCTGTAATAAAAAATGTATTTCTTAGATTATGAGATGACCGGAAAGACTTCCCTTTTTCCTGTATTTGGGAAACTCTTTTTTGCTACAGCAGTTACTATATTAATATTATTGCTAACAGGGGATGGATAATAATAATAATAATAATAATAATAATAATAATGTTATTATTTTTATTATTATTAAATAACAATTATAATGGATGGATGAATTACTATGCTGATGCCCAAATAGAGGTGTGGTAATACCCCCGTGTCTTGCCCTAAGATAGCTGGGACAGACTCTCATAGGACACCAGTGCCCGGCTCCCTCGACCCTGAATTACAGAAGCAAAAGAAAATAATATCTGACATATGCCTCTCATCCGGACAGATGTATTGTATTTCACATGTGGCTTTGAGCCCCACACCAAAACAAAATCAGTGAAAAATGCAGTGAGTGCCATCTGTAGAATTCACAGATGTCCTTAAGTGCACAACTATATAGGATTTTGGATTTTTAAGACTGATACCAATACCGATATTTGGCCGTTTAAAATTCTGATATGAAAGTTGATATTTTTTTGTCTTTCAAAATCAAAACACAAATAGATTTCTCTTAGTATTTGCTACATGTAGGAATTTATGACTCCTTACTATGATAATGTTAGATGTTAGTTGTTGCAAACAGGGAAGTTGCAGAGCACCCTCTGGTGGACAAACTATGCAACGAAATTCTCGAATCTCTTCTTCGCTTTTTTACTTTTCAGTTATCAGCCGTTATAAATGTTGATACCAATATAGTGGCAAACAACTAATATATATATGATTTTATTTATATATTGGCAATCAGAATTATGATCTGAATGCATTGTTGTGCCAAACACATTTTGCTTTTCCAACGTCAGCTCTATAATTTATCTTGTTCAGGGTTTGTCGGTTCATTGCTTCATTTCTCTTCATGTTATTTAAAGTTGTTACATTATATGTGGTATACAGGGACTAGGGTAAGATGTAATAAAAGGACAGAACAAAATAGAAATGTGTAATGTGTCACCAACTGCCGCACCTGTAAGAAAAACAAACATACAACACCTGTAACTCAAACATTTGAAAATGCACAGGTATATAAATCAGCAATCTTCTTGTGGGATGTGTGTCTGTGTGTGTGAGAGCGAAAGAGAGAGAGTGTAGAGTGTGTGTGTGTGTGTCTATGTTACGAAATGTAAAATGAAAAAGAGCGTGGGAAGCCTCAATAATGCTCCCATAAGCCAGAGAGAGACAGAGATGGATCCAGGAAAACTGTAAAAATGTCTTGATTTCCAGAGTCAAACCGCCCCCCATCGAAGGCGCCAAATCCAACCCATCCAAACGCCACCGTGACCGCCTGAACTCGGAGTTGGACCAGCTCGCCAGCCTCTTGCCCTTCCCCGAAGATGTTATATCGAGCCTGGACAAGCTGTCCATCCTGAGGCTCAGCGTCAGCTACCTGCGCACCAAGAGCTTCTTCTCAGGTAGGAAACACTGCACACCTTTAGGAACACTGAGCTTTACTTTTACCCGTTGACCAAGGGCTGTCTTTAAGTTACCTTTGCTCAAGGTGGACTAAACGGCGGAACATGAACACTGTAAAAGCAAGGGGTGTGCATGATTTATAAGTCCAGAAAGTCAGCTGTGGGATTTCTTTGTGGTCCAAGACATCATCTAGTTTAGGCCTAAGTCCTGTTTCCTTCACAACCACCTCTTTTTCCAATTTTATTTGTTCATTTATTTATCGTTTCTATTATATTTTAAGTTCAAGGAAGTCCAAAACCATACTTTTTAAAGAATTCAATCACTGTGTGGTGTTTGTCAGGTTATTGAATAATCATGTTGAATACATGTGCTTACACTTATTATGGTTTTTGCCATAAAAGAGCATCTCTGCTGTAGCTGCCAGTAGCTCCTCACAGGAAGTTGACTGCATCTTTGCAGGGTGAAGTGATCTCGACTTAAAAAAGTACAAAAGATGCATCTTGAACTTGAGATAGATGCAGAAAGAAAGAGAAGGTGGCAAGTGTCAGCTTTGCCCTTTTCCTTCCTCGCCTCCTGAAGTAGCTTTTCACACCTCACAAAGAACCTGCAGACACTGAGGCAGAAAGCATGCAGACAGAGATGGAGCCGAGAGGGTTTTAAGTACACAGAAAGGAGGTCAGAGAGGCGGTCTGCGGGCCAGCAGATGGGAGAGTCAGGAAGGTTTTTACTGTTGTAAGGCAAAGAAATGATTCATCAGATGGGAGATCAGTCACTTTAACACAGCTGTTTGTGATGGAGCTGAACCAGATTTTATATAAGTGAGGCTCTGATGCAAGGTAGCTGGGACTAAGTTGGGTGATTACAGTTCCTCCTGTGGCCTCCTCTCTCCTTTGTCCTTCAGTTGCATTTTAGGAATTGAAACCTTCAGTGTGTTGTAGTAAGACTAATGTCTAGGTCACAGGTGGGAGGACAGAGGAGACGAGGGGTTTTTTTTTTGGGGGGGGGTTCCCATGTAGTTTCCATGTTTTGAGTGCAGACTTTGCTGCTTGCCTTTCTGTCCTCTTTGGGACTCTGTCATTGGTTAAATAAAATCCTGCTTCCTCCATTACAACCCACACCTTGCTAAACAGTGCAGACTAGATCTGACCAGATGCAATATATACACTCACCAGACACTTTTTTCAGTCCACCTGTTCAGCTACTCGTTAATCAGCCAATCACATGGCAGCAACTTAGTGGATTTAGCAACGTGATCAAGACCACCTGCTGAAGTTCAAACCGAATATCAGAATAATAAAGAAAGGTGATTTAAGCAAATTTTAACATGCTGTTGTTGTTGTTGGTCTGAGTATTTCACAAACTGCTGATGTAGTGGAATTTTCCCACACAACCATCTCTAGAGTGTACAGCGAATGGTGTGAAAAAGAGCCACAGTTCTCTGGTTGAAAATGCCTCGGTGATGTCAGAGGTCAAAGGAGAATGGTCAGACTGCTGTGAGCTGATAGGAAGGAAACTTAATCAACACTTGTCAAAACCAAGGTATACAGAAGAGCATCTCAACAGTAGCAGAAGACCGCATCGGTTGCCACTCGTGTCAGCTAAGAACAGGAAACTGAGGCTACAGTTCACACAGGTTCACCAAAACTGAACAAAACACACGTTGGGTCCCTTAGTACTAACTGACGTCATTTAAACACCACAGCCTACCTGAGTATTGTACCACAGTGTACCATCTTCTGATGGCTACTTCCAGCAAGATAACACACCATGTCACAAAGCTCAGATCATCTCAAACTGGTTTCTTTAACATGACAATGAGTTCACTGTACTCAAATGGGCTCCACAGTCACCAGATCTGAGTCCAGATAGCACCTTTGTGATGTGAAGCCAACAAATCTGCAACAACTGTGTGATGCTATCATGTCTATATAGACCAGACTGAGGAATGTTTCCAGCACCTTGTTGAAGTGATTTTCAAAAATGTAATTTGGCTTCTCTGGCAGCTTAAAACAATACAGCTAAGTTCTAACTTTTAGCTATTACCTTTAAAATTGTGACTTAAAAGCATCACTTTTGCCGTTTTAACCTCCCAGGACCTGGCATCCACATATGTGGCCATCACATTTTGGATTGACTAGATCAAAATACTAAATTTTGCTCCACAAGGGTCTGATATCCATTTACGAGGACATTATACAGCCTCTGTTTTATCAAAATTTAAAACAAATGTACAAATCGGGTTTAAAAAAATCTGGTGATTCCTTGTTTTTACATTCATCGGGTCCCAATATGCCCAAATATCAAAGAGAAATTTAAAATGCATGCCATGGAAGAGTTCAGGTCTTAGGAGGTTAAAGCTGTGCAGGAACTCTGTAGCAAGGACACAGAAACATATCCTGTTCTTGTTTAAGGAGTTTATATTTGGGTCCTCACAGAGAGTAACTTAGGAGCTGCCTGCAGTTAATAATTCAACCACGTTGAGCCTGAAGAGTTTATACAACAGAGCGAGGCTCAATGCTTGATTATGAAGGCAATGGTGTTTGTAAGGGTGTCAGTGATTGTGGTTGGTGGTGCTCTTTTTAACTTCAGTGGATATTATACATGGTTATGCTCAGGATATGTCAGCCCATTTCTACTGGAAATGCCTTTTGGTTAAACCTTCAGCAAGGAATTTGCATTTGCACTGTTACGTTTTTATATCACTGTAATGCACATAAAAAAACCAGCTGCTTGTTTAAGTGAAAATAAATGGATGGGGTTTTTTTGCGCTAGTAATGTTGTGGAGTTGTATTTTGTCTCGCATCAATTATATCGTCGGTTATATCGTTATCGCAAATTTTCAAATATATATCGTGATAAATATTTTTGGCCATATCGCCCTGCTCTAGAAGTAACTATATAATTAATTGCCCAACATTGGTCATTATATACTGTATTTTGCAGACAGAGAGCTACAGACTCTCTCCCAGACCACAGACTCTTACTCATAATACAAGTCAGAGCTTTATTTTTTTTTAAAAAGAAAGTTGCGTTTTAAAAATTGGAGTTCATGTTATTTTTACTTCCAATAGTGTTAACATACTACACAAGTCATGAACAAGATTTTTTAAAATTTTAATTGTAAGTGGGCTAAAGCACTTAATTAAAAGTAGTCTAACATAAATGTAAATGCTGTAATTTGATTATTTTAATAAACCATGTAACTTGGATGGATTCGATGCTGGCGTGTCCTCACACGTCTAAAGGACCGCTCAGGGAGTTTGTGTGTTTGCTCAGACACATGAAAACTTAGAGGGAACATTGGTGGTGACCCTTGCGTCTGTGATTCAGACTCTGTTTAAGAAGTGCAAAAGTGCAGAAGGATCAGCTTTGTCGAGGAGTTAGCGGGCTTACAGGCATAGCAGATGGATTTTACTCTGTGTGTGTGTGCGTGCGCGCGTGGGTGTGTGTGTGTGAGGCAGCGCTGAATGTTTTCACAGATTATCCATTAAAAGCAGATTGTACATCTGTCCAAAAACAACAAACAGCCCTCAGAAATCTGCTCAGCCTGAAAAATCCTCCAGCGTCAGTCAGTGTGAGGGAGAACGCGACTTTGCCAGTTTATGCAAGATTATTTTGTGTGTTCATATAAACTGATATAAACTTAATCTAAGTAATGAGACTAACCAAAAAGGATTTACATATGGCCATCAGAGTACAGACGTAGCTCCTAAAAATAATAACCTTTATTGCTTTATGCTTTATTTTCTGATTTAATTTCATTATTCATTCAACATATTGAGGATGCATTAAATCGTGTGTTGAACCATTAATAGTGGCTTTTTGTTTTCTCACAAATCTGTGTGTTGTAGACTTATTTTGGTTTTTAAAACCTGCATTTTTGTCCATTTTAGAGATATTTAGAGCAACATTTTAAAAGAGTAACGGCCACAAATGATAAATATAAAGCCACAAAGTGCTTGGATATCCTGGATAATTCTCTTTTCTCACACTTAGAATGAGCCAAATTTACAAAATAATCTTTGAGTTTTTCAGAGCATGACCCAAAATAGAGCGACTGACTGTAAAACAAGGAGTCTGTGTCCATAATTACTTTTAACTGTGAAGGAACCACTCGTCCCAAACTGCGCTGCAAATCTCAGATAACACAGGGAATCACTTGCAGCCTTCTTTAATTTCATCCTTTTTCATTATCACAGTGTTGCATAACAATAGTTTGATGATATGTTGTAGTTTGTGAGTTGTGTGTGTGTGTGTGTAGTTATTAGGGACGTGCATTATGACAAAAAAGACACAAAAGTGCTGTTTCAGCATTTCATACATTCACACATTTCATCGTGGTCTTGCAAAACACACTGTTCACAGCAGGAGTATTCAATTAAAATTTAGGGAGGTCTAGTAAGAGAACATTTCCTCAAACAAAGCTCCAGAATGATGTAAATTTTACCTGCATTATGATTCAGTGCATATATATATATTTTGAAGTAGCAGTTGTAAGTTGTAAATATAACAAATACAGATACAATTCAACAGTATTTCAGCCATTTTTGTTTATTACTAACGTTCACAGTGATCTGGGGGATATTCTGAATATAAAATAATAATAAAATTTTCTTTTCTTGTTTCAAGTAAAATGCATTTTTATTCACAGATGAGAACCCCCCCCCAGCCCTGACTGAAACATTACTTTCACCATTAGATGAGTTACCTGGATTTACTTTGGTAACCTGAAAAGGACTCTGTCTGTGACCTCTGACCTCTGTGCTGGAGTTCTGGATCTGTCTGGGTTACTTACTTCCTTCTCTCTTCGTTTCTTTTGCTCCGTGTTCTGGGACAAAGCTTATGGCCCCCAACCCTGACCTCACAGCCCATTGTTCATTCAGCGGGCTGGTTTCAGTTTCTGTGCAAATGTACTGTTTATAAGGTTGGGGAATCCTGCAGTCGGCTGAGACTGAAGAAGTCACTTGGATGAGTGACGAAACGTTTCTCCCACTGAAAA